GACATTCTTAAAGAAGCTAGAGGAAAATAATGCCTTACCTATAAAGGAGCAAAGATAAGAATCACATCCACCTTCTCAGAAACGATGCAAATAAGGAGGTCACAGAGCAGACTGCTGCCCCCAAAACTGGAGAGACAGGCAAATACAAAGAATCCCAAATTATAGAGCAGAAATCCAAGAGCAGTAACCTCCATGGGAACCAGGCCCAGGATCGGGAAACCTGACCTGTAACTGACAAGTTGCTGGAGGTGCAGCATGGGTAATTTTGAGGGTTAAAAACTCCAGGGGGACCCAGCCATGAGCGGCCCTCACATTCATGTTAGCATTACCTCCAGTAACGGACCTGGTCCTCACAGTGAAGATCAGAGAAAAATCCCCTCATGCTTCTGGCTGGCAGAGGGGTGGAAAAGAATCACTTTGAAATATTCCACAGCAGCATTGTGTTTTACCTAACAAGCTCGGCTGTCAGGAGAAATTATTTAGCCAGATCATAACCCTGATGGGATTTTATCAGAGCCTAACTGACGTGGGGGAAAGGAAATACCCAACCCTGGCCAGCTCTGGCCTTCCACATGGGAGGAGGGAAACACCCAGATGGCCACTCTAGCCTTCCAATCCCACTTAACCTCAGAGTGGGGGGCAGAGGGTGCAGACTTTAAAAGCACCTGTGAAGGGCGCCTGGGTGGCTCAGATGGTTAAGCGTCTGCCTTTGGCTCAGGTCATGATCCCGGAGTCCTGGGATCGAGTCCCGCATCGGGCTCCCTGCTCCTTGGGAGCCTGCTTCTCCCTCTGCCTCTCTCTCTCTCTCTGTGTCTCTCATGAATAAATAAATAAAATCTTTAAAAAATAAAAAAATAAAACCACCTGTGAAGTCCACCACCCTGAGGCAGAGGCCCACTAAAAGACTGAGACTTAGTCATAGGACTATAGACCTTCTCTGCCCCCTACACGTTAGCATCACATTACTACAGCTTATTTACAGCTGTTCCTTTTACCCAGTATGTCATGTCTGGCTATCAGGAAAAAAAAAAAAGTACAATCCTAAGAGGCAGAAAACGTAGCTTGAAGAGAAAGCGCAAACCTAACAACAAAACCAGACCCAGATATGGCAAGGATGTTGGAATTATCAGACCAGGAACTTAAAACACCAGTGGTTAATATGCTAAGGGCTCTAATGAATGTAGTAGATAGTATGCAATGTAAGTAGAGATGGAAATTCAAAGAAAGAACCAAAAAGAAATGCTACCGATCAAAAACACTGTAACAGATAAAGAGTATCTTTGATGTGTTCATTATTAGACTAGACATGGCTAAGGAAAGAATCTCTGAGCTTGAGAATATATCAATAGAAACCTCCAAAACTGGAAAGCAAACAGAAAAAAAAAAGACTTAAAGAAATGGAACAGAATTTGCCAGAACTGTGGGAGAACTACAATGGTGTAATATATGCATAATGAAAATACTAGAAGGAGACGAGAAAAGGGAAGAGAAATATTTGAAACAATAATGACAGAGAAGTCCCCCCAAATTAATTTCAAATGCCAAACCACAGATCTAGGAACACCAAACAGGATAAATGAAAAAAAAAAAAAAAACTACACCTAGGTATATAATTTTAAAGATCCAGAAAATCAAAGATAAAAGGACATTCTTAAAGAAGCTAGAGGAAAATAATGCCTTACCTATAAAGGAGCAAAGATAAGAATCACATCCACCTTCTCAGAAACGATGCAAATAAGAAGAGACTATAGTAAAATATTTAAAGTATTAGGAGGGAAAAAACCCACCAACCTAGAAATTTGTATCCTGCAAAATTATCCTTCAAAAATGAAGGACAGGGGCACCTGGGTTGCTCAGTCATTAAGCATCTGCCTTTGGCTCAGGTAATGATCCCAGGGTCCTGGGATCGAGCCCCACATTGGGCTCCCTGCTCAGTGGGGAGTCTGCTTCTCCCACTCCCCCTGCTTGTGTTCCCTCTCTTTCTCTGTGTCTCTCTCTGTCAAATAAATAAATAAAATCTTTTTTAAAAAAAGTGAAGGACAAATATTTTCTCAGACAAACAAAAATTGAGAAAATTTTGTTACCAATAGATCTGCCTTGCAAGAAATGTTAAAAGTTCTTTAGAGAGGAGGAAAATGATATAGGTCAGAAACTCAGATCTACACAAAGCAAGGAGAGCACCAAAGAAGGAATAAGGTAAAATAAAAACTTTGTTCTTATTCTTAATTGATCTAACAGACAATAGTTTGTTCAAAATAATAATGGCAACAATGTAAAAAATAGCAACAACATATTATATATAACATGTTATATATAATATATATTCTTATAATAGCAACAATATATTATATATTATATAATTAACATGATTATGTATATATTATATTATGTGTGTATATATATAATCATGTTAATTATATTATATATATATATATACACACACACACACAAATGAATGACACCAATGATACAATAGACATGAGTGAGGAATTAGAAATATTTTATTTTAGGGGCACCTGGGTGGCTCAGTCGTTAAGCATCTGCCTTAGGCTCAGGTCATGATCCCAGGGTCCTGGGATCAAGCCCCGCATCGGGCTCTCTGCTCCACGGGAAGCCTGCTTCTCCCTCTCCCACTCCCCCTGCTTGTGTTCCCTCTCTCGCTGTGTCTCTCTCTGTCAAATAAATAAATAAAATCTTCAAAAAAAAAAAGAAATATTTTAAGTTACTGGCACTACCCATGAAGTGGTATAATGTTGTTTGAAAGTGGACTTGAATTAACTGTAAATGTATATTGCAAATTCTTGGGCAACCACTAAGAAAAGAAAAAAAGTGTATCTGATATGCTAAGGAGAGAAAATGGAATCACATGGAATGTTCAGTTAAAGCCCCAAAACGTGGAAGAGTGGAAGACAAAAATAGGAACAAAAAAACAAGGGCAACAAATAGGAAACAGTAACAAATATGGTGGATATTCATCCAACTATATCAATAATCACTTTGAATGGTCTAAATGCACCAATTAAAGAGAAATTGTCAGAGTGGATGAGAAAACAGG